GCAGCAAGACCACCATTCAGCCACCATCACTGCATCAAACCCCTACACCAGCCTCAGTATCCCTAACTCCTGCAGGCCCAGCAGGGCCCCGCCCTGCATCTCCCACCTAGCACCCAAAGCCATGCCAGGTTTCTTGCCAGTCCCCTGACCTACCTCACAGTCTTGGTTATAGAAAGAAACCTGGGATGGTCATCCAGGGTTGATAACAGTTGTGATGTGGTTCAGTCACACAGAGACCCCCTTGGGACTGTCACCCAACATGCTGAATTTACCTCTGAGCTTGTTTTCCCTGCCATCTTGGGACTCCAGAACCCTTCCTTGTTGAGCCAGACATGCTAGCCTGCTGCAACACAGACACACGTCTGGTCCATGCCCCAAAACTGCAGACTTTAACCAAAAACTGCTCAGCAGGTCACCTGTCTCCAGCACCCAGATCCCAATGGGATCCAAACCCCAAATAAATCCGTTTCACTCTGTATAAAGCGTATACAGGGTAAACTCATAAATTGTCCGCCCTTTATAACACTGATAGAGAGATATGCACAGCTGTTTGCTCCCCCAGGTATTAATCACTTACTCTGGGTTCAATAATAAACAAAAGTGATTTTATTAAGTATAAACAAATAGGATTTAAGTGGTTTCAAATAATAATGGACAGAACAAAGTAAGTTACCAAGCACAATAAAACAAAACACACAAGTCTAAGCCTAATACATTAAGAAACTGTTGACAGGTAAATCTCACCCTCAGATGTTCCAATAAGCTTCTTTCACAGACTATACTCCTTCCAAGTCTGGGCCCAATTCTTTCCCCAGTACAGTCCTTGTTAGTTCCAGCAGCCATCTTAGCTGAAAAGCAGGGGCTTTCTCATGACTGAGACTCCCTTCGTCCTGCTCCACCCCCTTTTATAGCTTTAGCATAAGGCAGAAGGGGTGGGTGTGTGACATGGTCACATGTCACTGTAAGACCTCATTCTTCATTACCCATGTCAGTACACAGGAAGGCTTGCAGGTAAATAAACCCATTCACAACCAATTGTCCTAGTCAATGGGAACCATCAAGATCCTAAGCCACCATTAATGGCCCACACTTTGCATAATTACAATAGGATCTCAGAGTTATACTTCATATTCCTATTTTCTAATACAAGAATGATACATTCATACAGATAGGATTATAAGCTTTGTAATGACACCTTACTATGACTATAAAGCATATTCCAGTTACCTTATATTCACACTCATAAGCGTATTTCCATAAATCATTATGGAGTGCAACGTCACAATGGTTTTTCCATAGGTCCAATTATACAAGGCTCAGAGGAACAGAAACATACGTATCCTAAACCATTTTGGAAACCACTTAAAGTTATCTAAGGTAGCTTTTTGATGTTTAATATTATGGTGATTTTAGGACCAAATGCATTATACTCTTGGAAATGGGAGATTCCCAGATCCTTTCTGGTGGGACAAGACACATGTTTCTAAGTGGGATAGGTCCAGAATAGATTTAGGATTGTCAATTAATTACATTAACGATAAATTATGTTTGCATTGAAGCCTAGGTTCCTCAGTACTAAAACAGGCCCTATTGTGCTAGGTGCTGTACAAAACATACAAATTAAAGATGAACCCCCGCCCTGAAGAAATTATAATGTAACTATAAGACATGAGACAACAGATGGATATTAATAGGAGATCACACACAAAGCCCCACACACCCAATGAGACAATACTGGTCAGTGTGACAGACAGTGATTTCAGCAGACCAATCATTGCTGAGGTTGTTTGTAGGCATTATGGCAGAGGAAAGGTTTAAAGGAGGGATCTGAAGGAGGGCAATGGAGGTGGCTTTGCAGATGGTTTACAGGTAGCTCCTTCCATGCAGAGGGGACAGCATAGGAGAAAGCATGAAGCTGCACGCTGTAAAATTTAACAAATGGGCCATGAAAACTGGCACCTTTGGGAGAATGGATCAACATCTGGAGAGCACATAAGAGAACCAGTAGGAGGGGGATAGATCATGAATGATCTCAAAGGTGACAAAACACAGTGTGTTTAAAGTGGTTGAGAAGTGGGAGCCAGTAGAGGGACACCAAGAGAGAGGTGAGGTGACAAGCAATGAGCCAGAAAAACAGTCTTTGCAGTTGTGCTCTGAATGGATAGAGGTGGGGCAAGATGTGATTGGTCTAGGCTGCAGAGGAAGAAGTTGCACTAGTTGAGACAGGTGATGAGGGCCTGGATGAGAGTCCAGGCAACATGGACTGCCCCTCCTGCATCTCAGAATGATGCAATTCCACATTTGTTTAAAAAAAAAAAAGGCAGGGGGTGGGGGAGGGGACCTTTTCCTGGCTAGCCTTGGTGTTGTTTTAATGGCCACTCTTTGAAAGCCCCAAAATTGGCTTGGCATATTAGAAGTAATCCCGATGTGGATCAATCAGTGGGCAAAGTACGGGTGAGGCAGATAAAGGGGCATGCCATGTGCAATTTATTGTATGGCTCTGCAATCGATCACATGCATATAGCAACCATCCATCTACAGCAGGGGTGGGCAAACTTTTTGGCCTGAGGGTCACATCGGTGTTGCAAAACTGTATGGAGGGCCGGGTAGGGAAAGCTGTGCCTTCTCAAACATCCTGGCCCCCGCCCGCTCCCACTTCCCGCCCCCCCGACTGTCCCTCCTCAGAACCCCTAACCCATCCAACCGCCCTGCTCCCTGTCCCCTTACTGCCCCGACCCGTATCCACACCCCCACAGGCCCCTTGGGACTCCCACGCCTATACAACACCCCCTGTTCCCCGACTTCCCTGCCAGAACCTCCACCCCATCCAACCACCCCCTGCTCCCTGTCCCCTGACTGCCCCCGGGACCCCCTGATCTCTATCCACACCCCCGTCCCTAACTGTCCCCCAGGATCACACCCCCATCCACCATCCAACCGCCCCCTGCTCCCTGTCCCCTGACTGCCCCGACCCCTATCCACAACCCTGCCCCCAGACAGGCCCCCTGGGACTCTCCTGCCTATCCAACTGCCCCCTGCCTGCCCCATGGGACCCTCTGCACCTTATCCAACTCCCCCGCCACCCCCTTACCATGCTGCTCAGAGAGGCAGGAGCTCGCAGCCGCAGCACCTGCACTGCCCAGCAGGAGCGGCAGCCCAGAGCACTGGCGGCATGGTGCACTGAGGCTGTGGGGGAGAGGCGGCAGACTAGCCTCCCTGACTGGGAGCTCAGGGGCTGGGCAGGACGGGCCCACGGACCGTAGTTTGCCCACCTCTGATCTACAGTCTCTAGTTATCAAAAATGCCTATTACTGTAGGATCTGAACACTGACATAGGTGGTATCTCTCAAATCTGGAACTCTTGTATTAAATCTTCATGGAAACTAATATCCATGTATTAACTGAAACAATGCTAAAAAACGCTCGGCGCATGACAAGGAAATGTCTCCCACTTGAATACGAAGAGAAAGAATTAGAGGTGAAGACTGAAATTCTGATACAGCAAGGAGATCAATAAGAAATGCATCTTATAGCAAAACTGCCCCTGGGGAGTAAGCGGATTGTAAATATACAACTTAATTAAAGAAAAAAATAGGTCATTTTCCTACACCTCAGTGGCACATGCACACTCAACATTGACAATAACAGAAGAGAAGAATCAGGCACTTGATGACACAACAAAGAAATCACTCTCTCTCCCGGTCTCTGTTCTCACCTCCGTCTCTTCCTGGCAGTGTTTTTACTCTCTCTCCTTCCATTTATGCTAGAGATAGGCCAAAACCACAAAATAAAGGTCTGGATTTCAGATGTCCCAAAGCTGTTCAGAGTGGGAGTATTCTGATTTGGCTCATGGGGGCAAGACAGGAAACGTGGAGTAGAATCTAAACTCCCCCCAAATTTGGAGTGGGGAGAAGGGGTGTGCTGGATGCAGCATTCGGATTGAGTCCCATCTCTAATTCCATCGAGTTCTCTCTCTCCCCATCTCTTTTTCTCCTCCTTCCCTGACTCTCTCCCTCTCTGGTTGCTGACTAGGATGACGATTAGTTTCACAGTCTCTTGCACTTGAAGAAAGTTTCTGCTCTGGCAGCCTGGAGCCTTCCACAGTAAACAAACAATACCTTGTTGTAAATCCCATATTCAAGGCCTGATCCTGCTCCCATGGGAGTTTTCCCCATTGACTTGAATAGAACCAGGAGCTAGCTATAAATGAGAGCAGAGGAGGAGAACATCTCCCCTCAAAGAAAAGCATTGGGAGGGATGAAGAAGAGGCACATGTGTCCTGTTCTCTTCCCTCTGATAAATCTTGAAGGGATGAATACTCAGGAGACTCCCTGCTTCCCTAGCTGTCTTCCCCATGGGGGTCAGTGGGGCTAATGACAGGAATGTTTGCTCTCCAAGGCTGCCAATTGCTGCAATAGCAAAGGAGCAATTAATAATGGAGCAGAGCTGGCTGATTTCTTCCTTGCTCTGTGCCTTACTGGGTCCTCCTTTTCCACCATCTTATCCTTTAGGGGGTGCACAGCTGCTGTCTACAAAGCTGAAAGTAGCATATGACGACTCATGTCACCACATGCCTCCTCTTTGATGCAAAAGGATTGGAAGCCAATTTGGTGGTTTTCAAAGGGTCCTACTGGACTTCTTATTAGATGAGTAAGATCTCCCCCTCCCTCTCTGCAATTAGTGGATGTGGTCCCTTTGCCCCTGCAGTCTGCCTTGTTGGTACCAGAAATTACAGCAGCTACATGAAGAGAACAGCTAAGATGCAAACAGAGGGTCAAGCATATACAGCTCCTAATGGAGACCATTTAAAAGGTTCCCTAAGACAAACTATTATGTCCTGTACAGCCTAACGAACAAAATACCCCCCCATGCATTTAAAGTGTTCCTTGGCATTGCTCATCACATGGACTTATCACTCTTTGTAGCTGCCAAACTCACTATTGAAACCTCCTCTGGTCACCAGCACAGTGTATGCATAAGAGCTATGCAGTGTGACTTACCTGTCGGAGTGAGGTGTCTCCAGGTGATGACAGGCTCGGGGCGTCCATTTGCCATGCACACCAGGGTCACGTTGCTGCCCTCATTCACAGTGACATCCGAGGAGATATTGGAGATCTTTGGTGGAACTGTGAAGACAAAAGAATGATGGAGCAGGTTACCCAGAGTTCTGAGGCCCCATGAGCCTGACACACCCAGAGTCAGCCATTGAACCTGCTCACAGATAGAATTAATTACTACTATGACTACTATTTGTTAAGCTCCACCACTGCCGAAAACATAGAGGAAGTTCTAGTCTTGGCCTCAAGAAGCTTGCAGTCTAAATAGAGATGCAAAACAATTCAGGCACAGAATTCTCTAGATGATCCAGAGGATGTTTCTACCTGACAGCAGAGGCCCGACCTGAGTGACCACCTTGAGGTACTGACAAAAAAAATCATCAGTTGCTTACTGGAGGTAAGGCCTCCACTGATGCTGAAGCAGAATTGTGCTCAGTCAGTTTACGGATATTTATTTGGGAGTTACTGTAAGGCAGGAAATTGCTCATGGAGAAGAGTCTCTGGCTCATGGGCCTTTTAATGTTCGCTTGCTACGTGCATGCCAGCATTTCTCACTTACAGAAGGTGTGTGATCACTTGGGGGCTTCCTGGAGTTGGTGTGTTTAAAGAAGGGATTTGAAGGAAGGAAGGGTTGGCCACTTGGAGCACCAGAGAGAGGTCCAGGGGTAAGCAATGACATGGAAGGATATAGGGAACGGTTGTGTAGGGAGGCTTGGGCAGAGAGAAAGGAGCAAGGGAGAGAAAGGGGGAAGTGGAATGGAGATATAGGCAAGGCCAGAGGAAAGTCAGCTGGGCTGAATGCCCTTAAGAAGCAGTTTGCATTGACTAAGGCTACTGCCTTACACAATTCCTTGAATGCCAAGGGGATAAATTCAGTAATGATGTAAATAGTGTTGTTGGGGAGTTAAACAGCAGATGCAAGCCATAAAGCAGCATAGCATGCGTGGATGTGGCATTCAGCAAGTGTGCCAAATGAGCACAACTTTTACACACTGGGAGGATGGAAGGGGGATATAGAATTGGAAGAGTAACCAGCAAAAAACAAAGGGAGTAAGGCTGGGGAGAGGAATGTTTAATAATACACCCTCCTGTTAGCTGCTTCCTGACTACTCAGCTATAAGAATGATCCCCCGGGGATATCACTGCTCCGAATATCTGCCTATGGCAATCACATTGTGTTGCAGTGCAGTGCAAGCGTCTAGCATTCTGATCACAGGCTATTATCATGCTGGTGTTGCTTTATGTTTGGTAAGGGTTGGGTACTCACAGAACTTGCAAGCAACTTGCGTGACTGAACTGGGGAAGCACTAAAGTGTAAGTAGGTGCCACAACTGTCACAGTACTTCAATCTCATTTCCACATTCAAAACAGCCCAGCTGGGTCCTTCTACAGTTCTGATGGCCCATCTAGCTGGCTTCTGCAGAGCCAGGCCTAGAGGCACTGTGCAAACTTCCTAACTCACACTGGCCACAGGCCAAGGCTATGTAGTAGCTATTATTACATCTCCTGAGCAAAGACAAAGGCATCCTGCTGAACACGCACTGTTTTGTTGGCAATGTAAACAATTGCTCACCATAGGTTGAGCTTGCAGCTTGCCATACTTGTTTCATTTGTGATCTAAGTGGCCAGATTTTAACCCAATACAACTAACTAGCTCCTCCAGTTCTTAACTATCTAAAGCAAACTCTGTTGTGGAGTGTTGCAGCTGGTGATATTATTTCTGTAGCATGTTTCATCCAGAAATATCCCAATAGGCTTCACAATGAATATTCACCCAATCTGGAGTGAAGGGCAGCAGCCAGAACATAGGGCAATGCACCACACTGTGGGGATAAGGAGAAAGGAAATGTTGGTTAAGGATACTGGAATAAACCCTTGTCTCACAAAAAGTACCATGCAATCTTTAATATCCAGAAGAGTGGACAAGACTTTCCTTTGAGGATCCTTAAAATCCTCCATAGAGGTAACATTTGGTCTATTGTGGGAATTCTAAGGGTTGAGCTGACTTCACTAGGATTTGAACTTGTGTCTCCAAGTACCTGAAGGTTAGGCCACTACGTCTTCCCCTGAGGCAGTACAGATTGTTCAAGTCTCCTTTCTCACATTAATGTCTCACATCCATGCTTCAAGCTTAGGGGATGCAGGGGAGCTCAGTAAAAAGATTGTTCTTGTCCCCACCCCTCTCATTCTCAGCTTTAGAATGTATATGGGGAATGAAACAAGATCCTTTTCTGCTTTGTTTACCACAGAGTAAACAGACCGATGCTCCGTTCCCCCGGCCAAGTTGGTTGACGGCCCTTTGGAGGCAGAGATGCCCATACAAATTGACTGGGAGGAAGAAAGGCTGCCCACCTGTTCCACCACATTCTTAGGAATGTCCTTAACATCCATGATTGTCCAGAATTACCACTGTCTTCGCTCTCTAGCCCCAACTTCATGGCCAGTGTTTCAGAGTCAAGGTGAAAAGTGGAGAGCACAGGGCTGCTATGTGTACAACTCCCAGTAGAGCTTGGCTGAGTGGCTGAATTTCACCTGCCATTTTGTTGCCCAGTGTTGATAAATGCAAAGTAATACACATTGGAAAACATAATCCCAACTGTACATACTGTGACAGGGTCAGGCCAGATGGCTACAGGACAGTGATTTTTTTATTTGCATAACACACTTACAAAGTAAAAACAGCAGCATATGCAATGTGTAACACAGCAACCAATCACAATTGTTTTCTCATTAGCTTCAGGGGAGGGAAATGTTCAAGCTTGCCTGGGCCCAGAGCGGGGGGCTTCCTCGACTCTCGTGGTCTTCCATCCCTTCGAGTTACCTGGCGCCACGCCCGAGTGTCACCAACAATTCCTTCCTCTGAAAGCACCCAACAAGAGGGGCAGGCTGTGGGGTGGACAATCCGGGGGGGGGTGAGGGGGGGACACGTGCACCCACGTGTGAAAGGACCCCTCTAAGGTGGTGGTGTCCGGAGCAGCAATGCCTGGGGCTGGGGTCCCTTACTCTCTCGTCCAATCAAAGGGTCAGACAAAAGGACGCGGACGGGGACACGTACCAGAGAACCTCGGACAGCGCCCACCGCTCCTCAAAAGTATCAAGGGAGTGGGCGGACGCTGCCCAGAGGAACTCAGCCCGGATACGTGAACAGACCGAGGATCGAAAAATGGCCCCACAGTCAGAGGAAACTCCATCGGCCATCCCCCTCTCTCTGGTTTTATAGATGGCCGTTTTAGCCAGGGCCAGGAGGAGGTTAACTAGGAGATCCCGTGACTTTGTGAGGCCACAGATGGGGAGTGCATAAATAAAAAGGTGAGGGGAAAAATGCAACCAAAAACGTAATAGGAGATTTGTGAGGAGCTGGAGCAGGGGCTGCAGCCTGGCACACTCCAAATATACATCCGCCAGGGTTTCCCTCACACCACAAAAGGGACAAGTATCTGGGACAGGGGTGAACCGCGCCAAGTACGTGCCCGTGCTCACAGCTCCATGAAGGAGCTGCCAACTGATGTCCCCGACGGGCCTCGGAACCAAGGTGGAATATAGGCTGGCCCACCGGGGCTGCTCACCCTCCAAAGATGGCAGAAGATCTCGCCACTTTGTGTCAGGGAGGGACACTAGAGTGAGGACGTGAAGGGTGTGGAGCACGAGCGTGTATAGATGTTTCCTTGTTGCGGTTTGGAAGCGTACCGGCTGCAGTTCATGCAGCTGGCTTGCAGTGAAGGGGTGAGAGGGTCTGCGGGGCAGGGGTCCAATTAAAAAGTCCGGCGGGCCTCGGGTAGAGGGTGGGTGGGGCGTGCCCTCGAGCAGGACCCGGTCGAGGTAAGCTCGAGCAGCGGGCGGCAAAGCAGCCTTCGCCTCTTGAAGTACGTGTCGGGGGGTTTGAGGTCTGGAGAGCCCCATGCACTGGGCGAGCGTCTGGGGATCCAGACAGTCTCCCCGGTTGTACTCCAGAAGATCTCCGACTCTTGTGACTTCTGCCAGGATCAAGCTCTGGTGCACCGAGCGGGACTCCGCCACCTGCACACGGAGCTGGAGTTTGTGTAGCAGGGGCTCCGCGAGGAGATCTAGCCCCTCGGTGGCCACCACGGACCTGGTCGTTAAAAACAGTTTCCAAGTCCGGAGGGGGTCCGGGTACAAGACTGGCAGCCTCGAGAGGTCTGGCGGAAGACCTTCCGGATGGAGATAAAAGAGCTGCCGGTCATATCGGAGCCCTCGGATGTGGCGCAGGATGGCATGCGCCAGTGTGCTCCACACCGAATTGCCTGCACCATAGAGGAGCCTCTGTAGGGCCTGGAGGCGAAAGACACGGACCTGAGTGTGTAGACACTTCAGGCCCTGTCCTCCTTCCTTCAGGGGTAGATGAAGAATCCCTACAGGGGGCCAGTGTGTTGCTGACCAAAAGAACCCCAGAATCAATGTCCGGAGGTTGGTCAGGAAACCCGGGGCCGGGACCAGGGTGTTGAGCCGGTACCAGAGCGTGGACAGGACTAGCTGATTAAGCACCAGCGCTCTCCCTTGGAGGGAGAGACATCAGAGTAGTCCCGTCCATTTCCGGAGACGCTCTATCACCCCGCCCTCTAAATTGTCCCAGTTTTCCGGCAGAGAGGGATGCGTGGCAGAAAGTTAAATGCCGAGGTAGAGCAGCGGACCCACGCTCCACTGGATGGTCTGAAGCGCGGGTAGGAGGGAGCTCGCCTGCTGCCAGTCTCCTACCGCCAAGCCAGAGCTCTTGACCCAGTTGACCCGGGCGGAGGAGGCTGCCGAATAGATGGCCTGGCAAGCCTCCACCCGCGCCAAGTCGCTGGGGTCCTGGATCACGAGGAGCACATCATCAGCGTACGCCGACAAGACCAGCTGCAGCTCCGGTTCCCGCAGCACCAACCCTGTCAACCTCCTGCGGAGGAGACAGAGGAAGGGCTCGATAGCCAGAGCGTACAGCTGGCCCGAGAGGGGGCACCCCTGCCGTACTCCTTGCCCGAAGCTGACTGGTTCGGTCAGGGTCCAGTTGAGCTTAACCAGACACTCTGCGGAAGTGTACAGCACCCGGAGAAAACCCACAAACTGGGGTC